GAACTCGAAAAATTCGAGTTGGAGTCGAACTTTAGTCGAGCCGGCTCACTGAGCTATTATGAAGGTAATGGCCCCCATTTTTTGCTACACGTCATCCTTGAAATTGTTAAAATGTCGTTTTAATTTTATTAATAGTCTTTTGACTTTGAACGTAATTTTCATTATTTTCCTTTCTGATTTCGTTAGAATTGAAACACGAAAAGTGTATTCCTTTGAGTAGCTTTGTAATACAATCTAAATCAACTAGATTGAAAGTCAACAGACGGAGTTATGCATGAACAAATTACATTTTAAATTTTAGATAACTCTAAACATCAAAGTTGAGGGCATTTTTCAATGATTTATCCATATCTTTCTCATATCCTGTCTTGGTAATTCAAGCTGGATTAGAATCCTACCTCAAATAACTACAAGATTTGTGTTTTAAATTGGCTTAATTCCACTTTGCATCCTTCAAATGGAGTCTTTTGGCACTTTGCACCCTTTGAAAATAATAATAGCACTTTGCACCCTCAAAACGCAATAAATCATTCACAATGCACCCTTAGTTGAATAATAAAGGATATGTCATTTTTATTGGTGTGAAATAATAAATTAAATTGTTATTTTCTTCAACCTCCAACCTTATTTCGAGCGCACAAAGTGCGAAAAATTAAAATTCCCCCCGATGATTGAAAAAATATATATTTTCTTACAAAATAAATCAAATTAACTTTTATAGTAATTAGTGGAAATATTAAATAGAAATATTTGGAAGAAAATATGATTTTCAGATAACTTGATAACGAAATAGCTGAATAATTTTTTCTTTTCATAATTTTTTTTTGTGATAAAAAATATAATTTTTAAATACCACTAAATATACTAAATTACCTTTATTAGCTTTAAACACTCATGTGAGGTGTATTATGCACGATATATTGTGTTTCTTAGGTCGCAAAGTGCTATAATTATTTTAAGGATGCAAAATGTAAAAATGGTATATTTTAAAAATTCAAAGTGGAACTAAGCCGTTTTAAATTTACGAAAGTGCTATTAATTTATTTTAAGGATGCAAAATGTAAAAATGGTATATTTTAAAAATTCAAAGTGGAATTAAGCCGTTTTAAATTTACGAAATTCAACCTAAAAATTTGTCAAAATCACGTTAAAAGTCGAAACAGTATGTCATCCCAATTTATTAATTTAGAGAACCACAAGTAAACAACACAATCCAATATGAATAATTTCATCATGAAAAAGATGAGAACTAATGAATTTGTGGTACGAATTCAATAAAGTTATGATTATGATGATTGAAAAACTTTGCTATATATCTTTCTTTTTTGGGTTAAAAAATTTGTTATATATATCATACATGTTTTAAGGGGAAGTGGAAGTTAAGTGGGTCCCATCACCCACTCCATTTGCCCCAATAAAAATTCCACGCATGGAAGACCGACCGGCCCTTTTATGCCGCGCCACCGCCCCAGTCCTCCAAGCATGCTTTTTTCTTTTCCTTTTGTTGTTATTAATTTTTTTTTCTCTTGTTCTTTTTAATTATTTTTTTCTTAAAAAGTACAAGAAAAAGCTTATAAATGTGGCTGAAATATAATGGATATAATCTTCATTTTTAATAACATAATAAAAAACCAAATTTGCCAGCCTTTTTGTGTGTGTGTGTGTGGATATAATATATTTGCCAACCCCCAAAATCATTATCAAAATGGAATTTATTTTTTGTTCTTTAAGTTCATCTCACCCTTCCACTACATTTTTAGCCTTTACCATTGGTCTACATTTTTTTTTCTGTTTTGAGGCAATCATTTGTTATGGGGTTACCCTACTTTATTTATTTATTATATTTATGATATTCTAAATAAATAAATGTTATTGAGTTAGAGTCTCAATCAGGTCATCTGAGTCGAGCTTTAGAAAGTATTTAATTTACTATGGTTGTTTTAGTCGCCAAACACTTATCTCGAGTGTGTACAAATCAAGACACTGAATT